ATGCTGACAAATAACCCAAATACATTAAAGTAAATATTGACACCCTGAATGGATGGTCAACAACTGGAATGCATATATATATATATATATATATATATATATATATATATATATATATATATATATATATATATATATATATATATATATATATGATATATATATATATATATATATATGATATATATATGAGTGTTTTGTGATCGTCAATTGCATATATATATATATATATATATATATATATATATATATATATATATATATATATATATATATATATATATATATATATATATATATATATATCATTTACACAAATACATATTTTTTATATTACGAGTGATTCAACAAGAGTCTCACAACAGTCACTATACAAGGCACTTTACAGCTATGGTGGCTGAGTGGACATCACGCTGGATGCGTAATCCTGAGGTCTGGGGTTCGATTCCCGGCGCCGGCGGAAACAGATGGGCAGAGTGTCTTTCACCCTGATGCCTCTGTTACCTAGTAGTAAATAGGTACCTGGGAGTTAGACAGCTGTTACGGACTACTTCCTGTGTGTATTCACCTAGTTGTGCTTGCGGGGGTTGAGCTCTGCTCTTTCGGCCCGCCTCTCAACTGTGAATCAACTGTTTCTACTACTACTCTTTTTTTCCCCCACATCACACACACACCCAGGAAGCAGCCCGTGACAGCTGACTAACTCCCAGGTACCTATTTACTGCTAGGTAACAGGGGCATAGGGTGAAAGAAACTCTGCCCATCGTTTCTCGCCGGCGCCCGGGATGGAACCCGGGACCACAGGATCACGTGCTCAGTGTGCTGTCCGCTCGGCCACCGGCTGTGTGTGTGTGTGTGTGTGTGTGTGTGTGTGTGTGTGTGTGTGTGTGTGTGTGTGTGTGTGTGTGTGTGTGTGTGTGTGTGTGTGTGTGTGTGTGTGTGTGTGTGTGTGTGTGTGTGTGTGTGTGTGTGTGTGTGTGTGTGTGTGTGTGTGTGTGTGTGTGTATGTGTGTATACTCACCTAATTGTGAGACAATTGTGTACTCACCACTGCCTTGTGTGTGTGTGTGTGTGTTTGAAAAAAAATGTTAGTTAGTAGTTAGTAACAGTTGACTGATTGACAGTTGAGAGGCGGGCCAAAAGACCAGAGCTCAATCCCCGCAAGCACAACTCGGTGAATATACAGTTACTACTCTTGCTCCACACCCAACCAACTGGGCGGCAGATTTACAGTCATGCAGTAAGCAAACTTTGGATACTTCACAAAGATTCATGGCAGTATATCATTATAAATTAAGTATTTGCACATTTCTTGGACTCCACTGATGGTGTTATCTCTGAATTCCGCGATTTTTTCACATTCCATCATATAATGACGCAAAGTATCCAAATAGTTCTGCTGACAGAGTTTACACTGAGTCATATCTACATTAGCAGATGTTACAAATTCCCAGAGGTACTTGTAGCCGAGCCTAAACCTAGCAGGCCCATCTAGTTAGTTAGCAGGTTGAAGTCTGCTGAGCCTGCTTATTACTAATAGTATTAAGTATTAGAGTAATACTTAATACTAATTAAGTATTAGTAATAGTATTAAGTTTTAGTCTTTAATGTTTTTCCTGTCCGAAACGCTTTGCGTAATAGTTTCTTTAGGCATTGTATGTACTAACTCTATCTATAAATCTATCAATTTTTGTAAAACCTCTTATATGTATGTATTTTACCTGAATAAACATTTATTTATTTATTTTATTATTAATACTTACTGGGTGACCCGTCGCCGCCACACACAACACGACCAAGTTGTCAGAATTTGGCTCAAAAATCACGCTCAGGAGTCAAATTTCGGACATTTCAGATATTTTGAAAACTGCAGGGGGGTTTGGGCAAAATATGACTCTTCGCCGTTTTCAGTAATTGGCATATTTTCGGTATAAAAAGTCGTAATTTGAAAATGAAAATAGGTGCAGAGAGTCAGCATTCGGCTCAAAAATCACACTCAGGAGTCAAATTTCCGACATTTCAGATATTTTGAAAACTGCAGGGGGGTTTGGGCAAAATATGACCCATCGCCTTTCTCAGTAATTGGCATATTTTCGGTGTAAAAAGTCGTAATTTAAAAATGAAAATAGATGCAGAGAGTCACAATTCGGCTCAAAAATCACATTCAGGAGTCAAATTTCAGACACTTCAGATATTTTGAAAACTGCAGGGGGGTTTGGGCAAAATGTGACCCATCGCCGTTTTCAGTAATTGGCATATTTTCGGTGTAAAAAGTCGTAATTTAAAAATGAAAATAGATGCAGAGAGTCACAATTCGGCTCAAAAATCACATTCAGGAGTCAAATTTCAGACACTTCAGATATTTTGAAAACTGCAGGGGGGTTTGGGCAAAATGTGACCCATCGCCGTTTTCAGTAATTGGCATATTTTCGGTATAAAAATTAGTAATTTGAAAATGAAAATAGGTGCAGAGAGTCAGCATTCGGCTCAAAAATCACACTCAGGAGTCAAATTTCCGACATTTCAGATATTTTGAAAACTGCAGGGGGGTTTGGGCAAAATATGACCCATCGCCTTTCTCAGTAATTGGCATATTTTCGGTGTAAAAAGTCGTAATTTAAAAATGAAAATAGATGCAGAGAGTCACAATTCGGCTCAAAAATCACATTCAGGAGTCAAATTTCCGACACTTCAGATATTTTGAAAACTGCAGGGGGGTTTGGGCAAAATATGACCCTTCGCCGTTTTCAGTAATTGGCATATTTTCAGTATAAAAATTCGTAATTTGAAAATGAAAATAGGTGCAGAGAGTCAGAATTCGGCTCAAAAATCACACTCAGGACTCAAATTTCAGATATTTCAGATATTTTGAAAACTGCAGGGGGGTTTGGGCAAAATGTGACCCATCGCCGTTTTCAGTAATTGGCATATTTTCGGTATAAAAAGTCGTAATTTGAAAATGAAAATAGGTGTAGAGAGTCAGAATTCGGCTCAAAAATCACGCTCAGGAGTCAAATTCCGGACATTTCAGATATTTTGAAAACTGCAGGGGGGTTTGGGCAAAATATGACCCTTCGCCGTTTTCAGTAATTGGCATATTTTCGGTATAAAAAGTCGTAATTTGAAAATGAAAATAGGTGTAGAGAGTTAGAATTCGGCTCAAAAATCACACTCAGGAGTCAAATTTACGGCATTTCAGATATTTTCAAAACTGCAGGGGGGTTTGGGCAAAATATGACCCATCGCCTTTTTCAGTAATTGGCATATTTTCGGTGTAAAAAGTCGTAGTTTAAAAATGAAAATAGATGCAGAGAGTCAGAATTCGGCTCAAAAATCACACTCAGGAGTCAAATTTCCAACATTTCAAATATTTTGAAAACTGCAGGGGGGTTTGGGCAAAATATGACCCATCGCCGTTTTCAGTAATTGGCATATTTTCGGTATAAAAAGTCGTAATTTGAAAATGAAGATAGGTGCAGAGAGTCAGAATTCGGCTCAAAAATCACGCTCAGGAGTCAAATTTCGGACATTTCAGATATTTTGAAAACTGCAGGGGGGTTTGGGCAAAATGTGACCCATCGCCGTTTTAAGTAATTGGCATATTTTCGGTATAAAAAGTCGTAATTTGAAAATGAAAAAAGGTGCAGAGAGTCAGAATTCGGCTCAAAAATCACGCTCAAGAGTCAAATTTCGGACATTTACGACATTTTGAAAACTGCAGGGGGGTTTGGGCAAAATGTGACCCATCGCCGTTTTCAGTAATTGGCTTATTTTCGGTATAAAAAGTCGTAATTTGAAAGTGAAAATAGGTGTAGAGAGTCAGAATTCGGCTCAAAAATCACGCTCAAGAGTCAAATTTCGGACATTTCAGATATTTTGAAAACTGCAGGGGGGTTTGGGCAAAATATGACCCTTCGCCGTTTTCAGTAATTGGCATATTTTCGGTATAAAAAGTCGTAATTTGAAAATGAAAAAAGGTGCAGAGAGTCAGGATTCGGCTCAAAAATCACGCTCAGCAGTCAAATTTCGGACATTTACGATATTTTGAAAACTGCAGGGGGGTTTGGGCAAAATGTGACCCATCGCCGTTTTCAGTAATTGGCATATTTTCGGTATAAAAAGTCGTAATTTGAAAATGAAAATAGGTGTAGAGAGTCAGAATTCGGCTCAAAAATCACGCTCAGGAGTCAAATTCCGGATATTTCAGATATTTTGAAAACTGCAAGGGGGTTTGGGCAAAATATGACCCATCGCCGTTTTCAGTAATTGGCATATTTTCGGTATAAAAAGTCGTAATTTGAAAATGAAAATAGGTGTAGAGAGTTAGAATTCGGCTCAAAAATCACGCTCAGGAGTCAAATTCCGGATATTTCAGATATTTTGAAAACTGCAAGGGGGTTTGGGCAAAATATGACCCTTCGCCGTTTTCAGTAATTGGCATATTTTCGGTATAAAAAGTCGTAATTTGAAAATGAAAATAGGTGTAGAGAGTTAGAATTCGGCTCAAAAATCACACTCAGGAGTCAAATTTACGACATTTCAGATATTTTCAAAACTGCAGGGGGGTTTGGGCAAAATATGACCCATCGCCTTTTTCAGTAATTGGCATATTTTCGGTGTAAAAAGTCGTAATTTAAAAATGAAAATAGATGCAGAGAGTCAGAATTCGGTTCAAAAATCACACTCAGGAGTCAAATTTTCAACATTTCAAATATTTTGAAAACTGCAGGGGGGTTTGGGCAAAATATGACCCATCGCCGTTTTCAGTAATTGGCATATTTTCGGTATAAAAAGTCGTAATTTGAAAATGAAAATAGGTGCAGAGAGTCAGAATTCGGCTCAAAAATCAAGCTCAGGAGTCAAATTTCCGACATTTCAGATATTTTGAAAACTGCAGGGGGTTTTGGGCAAAATATGACCCTTCGCCGTTTTTAGTAATTGGCATATTTTCGGTGTAAAAAGTCGTAATTTAAAAATGAAAATAGGTGCAGAGAGTGAGATTCCAACACCGCCTTACAACCGACCTCTCCCGCCACCATCACAACAACAACTTGGTGCTTGCGGGCCACAGATTCATATTAAAAACCTATGTCTTTACACTTACGTCTGTCAAAATGACATTTCCAACAAGTCACAAGACAGTATTCGTAATGGATCACACTTTAACTGCTTCGTCTGGCGTGAAACTGGAGATGGACAGCTTCAGCAAGTCCCGCAGCTCGAGCAGTACCAGCAGCAGCAGTAGCCAACAGCCTCTCTCCCAGCCCATGAACCTCATACCTCTCCTGCCTGTCACCAAGTCACTTTGGACTTGTGCCGTCGAGGCCATCACGGAGTACTGCAGGTCAGAAAAGTGTGGAATGTATTGAATAGAATCGTGATCATTAACATTGATAGCATTGCCTGCCCGAAATGCTTCGCGTACTAGTGGCTTTACAAAATTTTATTACTGTGTTATGTATCCTCACAATCCCAATGTACCTTCTTGTATATATAGAAATAAATAAATAAATAAATTGCCCGAAACGCTGTGCGTATTACTGGCTTGAGGCATAGTATGTACTAGCTCTAACTAGAAATCCAACATTATGTTTGTAACTCATTTTGAATATATGTAATTTTACCTGAATAACCATTATCTTATTGATAAAATTAAAGGTAAGGTTGATTATAATAATAATAATATAAGCTTTGTCCTGGGTTCGTATCCTGGCTGGGGAGGATTTACTGGGCACCAATCCTTAACTGTAGCCTCTGTTTAACCCAACAGTAAAATGGGTACCTGGTTGTTAAATGATTTGGCAGGGTCGTATTCCGGGGAACATAGGATTAAGGACCTGCCCGAAAGGCTACAAGTGCTAGTGGCTGTACAAGAATGTAAGAACTCCTGTATATATAAATAAAAAATAACAATAATAATAATAGTTCATTTTGTCGAGGGACAGGAAGCCAGAGTGTATTCACACACATTAGGCTTTTATCGAAGTCTTCCCCCCCCCCCCAGGTCGCATTACTGACCCTGCTCAGGGTGCAACCTCCCAAGAAGCTGACTAACTCCTGAGTACCTACTTACTGTTAGGTGAATAGAGGCATTAGGTGAAAGGAAATGTTTCCAACCATTTGACATTCGTTTCAAGACATTCGTTTCTTGCCAAAAATGGTATGCGTACTAGTAGCTTTAGGTATGGTATGTACTACCTCTATCTTTAAATCAAACAGAATGTTTGGACTGTAACTCTGCAACTATGTACTGTATGTACTTTTCCTAAATAAATTATTATTATTATTATAATATTATTATTATTATTATTATTATTATTATTATTATTATTATTATTGTTATTATATCTGTTCCCCTCGGGATTCAAACCCGAAATTCTCAACTGTGTGTCAAGAATGAACCCGACTGTACTACCTGGACCTTATACATTACAGAACGTTATAAACGTGTCCTGCACCATATTGAAGTCTAACAAAACTGTCAGTTGGGTTAACCCAGGTGTGGGGTTCCAAAAATGATTCCAAAATTTAGTTGTCCAGCTGAGCCAACAACGTGATTGGCTAAATGATAAGATGAACAAAATTAGCTTCACTCTGGTCAAATGAACAGTAGAAGTGACCTCTGTCGAGAAGCAGGCGAACCAAAACCAAGCCCCAAATACCTCTGCAAGAACACCTCAGTGAATCATTTATTCGTGTATAGGAGCCTTTGTTCAGAGTTCTTTAAACCTTCATAAGTCACCTAAGAAGAAATACATGATACTTTGTGTATCTAGGTCCAGGTTATTACCTTAGAATGCAAAAAAGTAAAATGCTCAGAAAGATGATTTTCACATACCCTCAAAGCTTTACTTTTTCCTCTTAAAAACGTAAATAAATGATCCTATGTTCTCTATGGAAACTTTATCCATGAGAGATTAGAATCTTCTTCAGGCATCAGAATATTTGTCATGTTGATGACTTCTGAAAAAGAAATTTAAATTAAGCATGCAGCCAAATCAGTGTGTAGAATTTTGTTATGTAAATTCCACTTACTTTTACTTAAAATTATTGTGCAGAATGAAGATTGCTTCAGTATATATGTAAAAAAAAGTTATATTTGATAGAAGAAGAAATAGATAAAGACAAAAAGGCACAAGTACTATACGAGTAAAATAGAAAAATTATTATCGAGAAAACAGTAATCATTGAATCATGAATGTGGAGGAAACAGAGCATTACATAATAAGTGCACTAATGTAAGTAAGCTAAGAAAAATAATGCAGCCAAGGCCAGAAATTTTACTAACCTCCAACCAGTAGCTTTTTTGTAAGTAACAAAAGGCAACCAGTTTACTTTGTCATACACATCACTTTGGATAAAATTTGTATCAATTTATTTATTTTAAATATTAACAATAGATAAATTTCTTTGTATTTTAGCATACAATAGTGTGTGTTTATATACAGTACATACATGAATATTTTTCTTTTCAGAATTGTTTGGGATATCTTCCCTGGATCCAGGCTGATACGTTTTATAGCTGTTGACAGGACTCTACACAAGCTCTCTTCATGGAACCTTGAGGACCAGAGCCTTATTAATTTAATGAATGCATTCATGATGCTTGGACCAGCAAAAAATATAGGAATTGGCAAACTTGATCTTTTAAAAGGTCTCAGAGCTGCCATAGAAGCCCTGACAGAGCCATCTGCTATTCAACATGAGAAAAGAACATCTCTTACAGAGAATGCAACAAAGGTTCTTAATAAGGGAAGAATTATATTGGTAACAAAAATAGAGAGTGAAGATGAAGTAAAATCTCTGAAAGAAAAGTTTCATGATACTCTTTTACACATGAACAAAAATGCTGCTTCAACAGACAACTTAATGGCCATTAATCATTGTGATCTTGTTTTACTGAATTTGTGGCCAGAAGGCCCAGGATGTCCAATAGCACGTAGATCTTGGCCAGATCTTTCCACCATAATGTCATGTGAACTCACTAATATTCAGGGAGGAACAGCTTTGGCACCTAAACTCTGTAACCTTGTACTGAAGCATTATGATCTTGCATCAACAACTGTAACAGGTATACCTATGAAAGAAGAACAAAATGCAAGTTCATCAGCAAATTACGACGTGGAATTATTCCACCCTGCTGCTGCTCATGCAGCCATTCTGAAGGGAATACCAGCAGAAACGGCTCATTTGAAGACTTACCGTGAGGGTACAGACTATGAGACTGTGACATTAAAATGGTGTACTCCCCGCAGTAATGCCAGTATAGAACTCCAGCATTGCTCATCTGCCTATAGAATCACATCTGTTGATGTTAATAGCAGGCCCTCATCATGCCTTACAAATTTTTTGCTGAATGGACGTTGGGTAATGCTTGAAATGCCACGAAAGTCCGGGAGTAAGGTAATCTCTCATATGCTTGCTTGCCATGGTGGCGATATTTATATCCATACAATGTATACCTCAAGAAGTATACTGGAAGATCCTCCATCTATTAGTGAAGGATGTGGTGGCCGAGTAACTGACTATAGAATTCCTGATTTTGGAGAACTTATTAAGGCAAATAGATTAGCACCTTATCCAGAATCTACAGTAGAAAATGAAAATAATACCACACCACTGGAAAAAAATCGGGAACAGTTAGGTAGGCATACAAAGTATTGGCCAATTACACTTTCCTCTACATCTCTTTTTACTCTAGGGCCACAGATTGAGCCACTTGCAACATTAATGTTAAAAGACACACTTACTGAAGATGAAGTCATTGAATGTAAACAAGTGATTCTCTGTTTGATGAGTATGGAGGCTCGAGGTGACCCATTGCCATCTCCTATGGCTGGACAACGAGGAAAAGGCATGAAACGGGAGGACCAGTACCGAGCAGTTTGGACAGAATTGGAGCAATATTTACAACTGCACCTTCATTCTGCTGATCATGAAAAAGTACTTGAATGTTTTATGGAATGTCATAACAAGGTAGAAGCCCCAGAATATAAAAGTGATGACAAAGTTGACATTGATCAAGCTCTAAAAGAACTTGATGACTACAATTATATGACAGAAAGAGAGAAAACAGACTTTAATATGAGTGTTGGAACTAAACATACATCTACAGACTTGACTATTCCAGACAGTAAACGTAAACGTACAGCACCACCACCTTTAGCACCCATGGGTCGCAGCAGCGGTGTTAGTCTACTTACTTTATGGGAGAATAAAGTATCCTCAGAACAATCTCGGCGGTGTTTAGAATTCCAAGGAAGACTTAAAGCAGAGGATAATGTCACAAAGTTATATGTCAGCCTACAAAAAGATAAAGACAAAGATGAGGGATCACGAAAAAAAACTTCTTAAATACTTGAATGCAATACAGTACTGTACTTGTATATAATTTGCAAAACTTGATGACTTAATTTTGTTCTTTAAAAGCCGGACTGATAAGCTGCCATGTGTTTGTGATGATAGTTGTACTGTACCAGTATTTAACAGATATATGAAATTTTTAAAATTAAGGATGTTCAATATTAGAAATACATTTTTCCAAATTTTTAAAAGTATTTAATTTCCTAGAGTAAATCAATGCCAAACTTATAAAAAAAAAAAAAAATATGAAAATGCAAAACGATAACAGGTTCCTTTCTTTTTTATTAATTTACCTGAACTTACCTAATGTCTGCCATCTCCAGTAGCCTTGACAGGGGACAGGAAGCCGGTGGCTTGTACAAGGTCACCCCATTTTTCTTGATAATTTTTCAGCTGCATTTTGAACTAGCACTCTTGGTATTTACAATTTTGCCAGAGAAGTGTCAAGTCAGATAAAAAAATCAACATTGAATGTAGAGAAATGCCTCTTTCTAGGACTATAGGACCCCTGGTAGTTTTCCAAGTTATCCACCTAGCAACTTACAAGCCTAAGGTGCCCCATTGAGCTCCTAGAAATCACAAGATGAGTTTGGGGATATAAGATAAACCCAGCACTGAAGAAAAACCCACCTGGGATATTATTCACACATATATTCTTAGAACAATAAAACAACGATTTTGTTGTTATTACACTATAAACATATGGTGTATAGCACAATAAAACAAGCAACTGCATGTACAGCATTTCTCACTGTGATGTGAACTATGTACACTCACATTGTCTAGGTCCAACTGTTAGCAACAATCATGCAAGAGGAGCCACACATCTATGGATCATCCAATAAAATCAGCAGATTTCTAGATGTTACTACTGCTCGGCTTAGACTCGGTTACAAGTACCAGTATCTCTGGGAATTTTCATTATCTGCTAATGTAGACCTGACCAAATGTAAATTGTGTCAAACAAAATTATTCACACACCCTCCATCACTATGTGATGGAGTGCAAAAAGATACGTGAATTCAGAGACAACTCTATAACAAATGTTCAAGAAATGTGTAAATATTTCATTCAAAATGATCTGCTGCGAGAAGTCTTTACCAAATATCCCCAGTTTGCTAACTGTAGATAGTAACTAAGTGATTGTAACCTATCCACTGCTGTCCACTGGATGGGGGGGCGGTGTTCAGGATAAACATATCAATTGTGACACTAGCACTCCACATATGTCAGTTGCATAAATTAGAAATTATACTTGTGGCCCCACTGATGATGTGACAATGTGCATTGAATTTTGTAACTAGCTCATTAAGATTGTAACTTGCTTAGCTAAATGAATTGTGGGGTTCAGTCCCTGAGCCCATTATGTGCCTCTGTAACCCTTTCCACTACCGCCCACAGGATGGGGGTATGGGGTGCGTAATAAATGAACTAAACTAACTAAAGTTAGCAACACTCGCCACCAGATGACAACCCCGGTAACCTAATTGTCCCTGGCAGCCACCTCCATCAGACTTGCACTGCCGAAGAGCAACCCCCCAAAAACCACAGGAAGGAAAACAGTGCCAAAACATGGATCACCAAGGGACGTACCAGAAAGAGGCATTTCATTACATTAAATGCTGAATATCTGCAAGGGGCTCCTTGAGCTTAATCCCTATAGATAATAAAGAAAAAAAAAGGGGGGCTTACTATGAGAGGAAGGGAAGCAAAATCAGTAATCTTGAAGGAATCAGGGCTGGGGACACCTGACCCAGTGCCATGCACACCTACTCACTCTTGGAATCCTTAAGGCAAGCAGGGGATGGTTTGAAAAATTTAGAAAAAGAAGTGTTATTCATAGTGTTGTGAGGCATGGGAAGGCTGCCAGCTCAGACAAACCAGCGGTTGAAAGATTTATTGAAGAATTTAAAGAGTTTGCAGAGGCTGAGGGATACCTACTGCAACAAGTTTTTAATTGTGATGAGACAGGACTGTTCTGGAAAAGATTGCCTAAGAGGACATACATTACCAAGGAGGAAAAATCATTGCCCGAACACAAGCCTATGAAAGATAGGTTAACGCTTGTGCTGTGTTCAAATGCGAGTGGTGATTTGAAAATTAAACCCTTGCTTGTGTATCATTCTGAAAATCCAAGGGTTTTCAAACAGTATAAAGTGCAGAAAAAACAAATGTGTGTGATGTGGAGAGCTAATAAAAGGGCATGGGTGACTAGGATTTTTTTTCGGAGTGGGTGAATGAAGTGGTGTGCCCTGCCATAGAAAAATATCTGCAGGAGAAACATTTGCCACTCAAGGCCCTGCTTCTCCTCGACAATGCTCCTGCTCATCCTCCAGGCTAGGAAGATGAATTGTTGCACAGATACAGTAATTTTCTCACAGTAAAGTTCCTTCATCCTATCACCACTCCTCTAATTCAGCCTATGGACCAGAAAATCATAGCGAATTTTAAGAAACTTTATGAAAGGGCACTTTTCCGGAAATGTTTTGAAGTGACTGAAGCCACAAAACTCACCCTCAATGAGTTCTGGAAAGACCATTTTAACATTTGTAGTGCTTTAAAACTCGTTGACAAAGCCTGGCAAGAAGTGACTCAAAGAACCCTGATCTCTGGCTAGAGAAAATTGTGGCCTGAATGTGTGACAACTAGACTTTGAGGGGTTTGAGCCCGTAAATGATGTGCCTATTGTTGAGGAAATTGTTACTCTGGGCCAGCAAATGGGCTTGGAATTGGATTGTGCTGGTGTGGAGGAGTTGGTGGAAGAACACAACGAAGAACTGACCACCAAAGAACTTCAAGCCCTTCAAAAGGAACAGCAAGAATGCAGCAGAACAGCAGCTGAGGATGTTTCTCCAGTGGAGGAGGATGAGGAAGTTGAGAATGTCCCTTCTACAACCCTTAAGAAGTGGTGTCAGATGTGGGAAGAAATGCAAACTTTTATTGAAACGACTCACCCAGAGACAGCTGTAGTAGGCCGTTGCATTAATCTTTTCAATGACAATGTGATGCCTCACTACAGAGACATTTTGCGAAGAAGGGAAAAACAATCATCAATGAACCGCTTTGTTGTGAGAACATCAAGCAGTGAGCTACAACTAGGACCTAGTGGTATGCAGGCAAAATGTGCCAGAGAATGCACCCCAGAGAGGTCATCACTGCCTGATGTTATAATAGAAGGGGACTCCCCCTTCCAAACAGTAACACCACCTCCCCCCTCCTCACCATCTTCCATATGCCAACAGCAGTGATCAGCAATGGTAAGTAATAACTAGAACATAGTTTTGTAGTGTAGATTTTGATGAATTAGGTATAAAATTTAGTTTCGAAGTGAGGTTTTTGGATAGTCAGGAACGGATTAATTCATTTCCCATTATTTCTTATGGAGAAATTAGCTTTGGTTTACGAGTTGTCTCCAGGAACGGATTAAACTCTTAAACCGAGGTACCCCTGTACAATATATAGACTGTGATTCATACATCAGGTTGTGAGCAGCTGCATCTAACAATCTGGTTGACTAGACCACCAACCAGGAGACCTGGGCAGAAACCAGGCTGTCGGGACGCTGATTCTCAGAACCACTGCAAGGTGATCAAGGTAAGATAACATGTGGCAATCCCATGGTTACCTTACCTTGGTTACCGTGAGATGTTTTCGGCCCTTGGCGTCCCCGCTGCCCGGTCGTCGACCAGGCCTCCTGGTTGACCAAGCTGTTGGACCCGGCTGCTTGCAGCCTGATGTATGAGTCACAGCCTGGTTAATCAGGTATCCTTTGGAGATGCTTGTCAAGTTCTCTCTTAAACACTGTGAGAGATCTGCCAGTTATGCCCCTTATGTGTAGTGGAAGCGTGTTGAACAGTCTCGGGGCTCTGATGTTGATAGAGTTCTCTCTCAGAGTACCTATTGCACCTCTGCTTTTCAACAGGGGTATTCTGCACATTCTGCCATGCCTCCTGGTCCCATGTGGTGTTATTTATGTGTGCAGGTTTGGCACCAACTCCTTTACTATTATTTTCCATGTGTAAATTATTATGCATCTCTCCCGCCTGCGTTCAAGAAAATACAGATTTAGGCATTTCAGTCGGTCCCAAAAGTTTAGATGTTTAACTTAGTGGAGTCTAGCAGTAAAGGATCTCTGCATGCTCTGCAGATCAGCAATTTCTCCAGTTGACACAGTTCGACTGAGACACAATCGAATTGTGTCTCAGCCAGAATCCTACTGAGAGAGAGTGATTCTCCTGGACCCATGGTGGCCAGCCCAGCTTTAGTTTCAGGTGCTGCTTGCTCGGTGTCCAAACCCGGGAGTTTTTCCGCGGCTCCGCTTGTTTTCAGCAGGTCGGGTGGGTAAGGTACTTCGCTGGTTCAGGCTTTTCCTCCACAATACGCATTTGGTCTTTCTGACTCGTGTGTATCATCATTTGTATGATGATCAGGTAGCTAATTTAATGGTGTCCCACCTGCAGTTTTCTTCTCAATGATGTATGAGGTTTCTTGGCAAGCTTTTCGCTATTTTCTTTCTCTTTGTAGGGTTTTGTCTGTGTTGAACTAGGTTGTTTTGTCTGTTCTCTCCCTTGGCTTTTTCTGGATTGGCATCTCATGCCAAATACTGTGGCTTCTCATCTTGCATTGTTGGCGGAGCTACTGCAGGTTGCGTTCAGGGTGGATGTCACTTCCGCCCCTTCCACAAGCTTTCTCGTGTGTTTTTCACCTCCAGCCTGCTCATGTGCACCCTGAGCCTGCTTGGTCTTTGGACCGGGTTCTTTCCTTTCTTTCTTTACCTCGGTTTGTGGTGACTTCTTCGGTTCGTGATTGTTTCTGGAAAGCTTTGCTTTTGTTGGCTTTGCTCCCCAACCCAACACCCGTTGGGTTGGGGAGCTTCATACTCTTCTCCGGCGCCAGAGGTTCCATTCTTTTGGTCCTAGTAGTCGTTTGTTTACAGCTGGCTCCTTTTCTGGCAAAGAATGAGATGGCGGGCTTCTGGAGGGAGTCCTTTGGTTGGTTCAGCTGGATGTGCATTATATGCTGTGTCCAGTAGCTGCCTTGTGCTGCTACCTGCAGGCTTTGTGCCAGTGGACACACTCTTTGGGTTGATCTGGTTTCCCTGGTTCCCTATTCCAGGGCTCATATGTCTCAGATTGTCCACAGTGTCATTAGGTCTAGCCAGCCTGCGGTCTACCCTCATGCCCATATCAGG